TGAGGTATCCTATAAAAATTATCACATAGCTGTTTATACAGCCTTTATAAAATAAAATTTGCTACTTGGGATATGCATTTGACCCACATGGATAGGGCACATTTGATTCATGAGATTTTTGTTTTTTGTTATTTCTTCATTGACATATGGTTGCCATATGCCACATCTCTTTCTTTTCTGGTATTGATTATTCAGTGTTCTCCCTTCTATAAGTAAGATATTCAGAATCGGAGTTATGGTTACTCTTCGGAGAAAAATCAATGTCTCGATGATCTTCATCTCATTTAAGCCTCTTTAAGTTCATCAAACCACTCAACAAATGCTTCCTCAAAATTAGCGTCCCAGTGAAGCACACTTTTTAGACTACCCACCATCCTAATAATGAAACATTCTTGGCGTGGTGGTGCCACACACAGACCCCTATGAAACTTTAGCCCCCGTTGGTAGGAACAATACTTGATAAAATCAAGTGCGCCTTTAACAGTTGCATATTGGTACCCTAACTTAAAGGTAAATGGCGCGGCGAGGCCTAATTTTTAAACGTAAACATTTTACAGAGGTTTAAATAGTGATCCCCTGTCAACTACATGATCCCTAGTCGTAGTTCCATTCATTATTTTAAGTAGTATTACTAAAAAAATAGAGAAGTTATAGTAAAAAAACTCTTCATTTGGCAATATGACAAACAAACAGCAGTATGTCCACAGCATACAAGGATATACTTCTGTTTGTTTGTCAACGGCGAATGGACATACAGCCCATAGAAAGTTTAAGGTATTTTCGCCATCTAATTCGATTGGGATAAAATGTATTCAATACGTCGTTTCTAAATAGACAAAATGCATTTAGTAAGTCTGCTCCTCATTTGGATTGGAGTTATGCTCTAATATAATATATAACCACCTCTCTCCTCTAATATATCTATAACCACCTGAAACACAAAAAATACAAATTGTTACATGCATGATATATTCCAGCTGTAGAACAAAGTGACACAACACAAAATAGTAGTGATGGGAATAATCGAATTATTTTCACCATCGAATAATTAGTAATAATTCATATTTCACAATCGAATTAATAATTCGAATTATTTAGTAGAATTATAGGTGATGGTACCTTTTAGGTATATAGCCAATCTTGAAGTTATTGATGTAAATTTGATATTAATATGTTCTACAATTAATGTTTTAACGCTCTAAGTACGGATCGTCGGCTAAATGTTTGAGATCACTTCAATAAAATTATTTATTTTTTGACCAAATTTGAGGTTAGAAGTTAGAATATTGAATATACTAATATAGTAATTAGTAATATAGTAATATAGCATTCTCTATTAAGTTTAATAAGACTAATAAGAGTGACAAAGAAGAAAGAAAACACAGAATTAGTACTATTAGTAGAATTAGTTATTTTTATTTGTCTTTTGCTCGCGTCTGCGCATATTGTTGGCGGTAACAATGAAATATTGAAAATCGGGATTTTGTTTTATTTATACTTTCTTATTAATTTTGAAAAATACCGGTAGCGATATTAAGTTGATAAGAATAGATAGGTAGGGGAAAGTGGGGTAAGTTGACGAAGCGGGTAAAATGACGAATGTCGATAAAATCATTATAACGTAATATATTTCCATTCGCATAGGAAGCGCCATCTCGTTAGTGTACCCTGAAGTAACTCAAATAGTTTGGAAAGGCTTGGACGGCGTGCTTTTCTGTTAGAACTGATTTGTGGATTTCACGTGTGTCGGTAAACATTTCGTACAGTGTTTTTAAGGTTTACAGTGTTCCAAATTAAGGTAAGACCGAAATAAAATATTACATATAAAAAACTAGGTATATATGCATGTTATGCTAAAAAAGTTTGCATAAACAAAGCTATTTATTAAATATTTTCTCATGGAACATTAAACATAACCTCTAGGGGCAAGATGGCCCGGGTAAGTTGACGAGTTCGTCATCTTACCCTACTGATCGTCATTTTACCCCATTATTTAATTTATTACAGCTCCGAATGGAGAAATAAGTATTTCGTAAAATGTTGTGCTCTTTTTAGATGCCTCGAATATACCAAAGAAAGACAAACAGACGTGCGTGGGATGAAAATGCTATGATTGCGGCTGTGCATGAAGTATTAGATGGAAAATCTTGCAATGGTGTGGCTTCTCTATACGACATCCCAGAACCGACTCTGCGCAGGTATGTGAAAAAAATGAAAAATGATCTGCAACTACCGATGCATGGAGGGAGATATTCTACTACGTTTAATTTAAACCAGAGCCAGGCACTAGTAAATTATATTACCTTGATCGACAAAAGAGGTTTTGGATTGACAGCCATACAACTAAGGAAGTTAGCCTATGACTTTGCTGAAGAACAAGGAATAACACATCGTTTTAACAAGGAACGGAAACTAGCAGGAAAGGATTGGTTATCTAATTTCATTAAAGATAATAAAATAAGTCTAAGAACTGCTGAGGCCACTTCAGTTGCGCGTTTAATGTCTTTTAACAAGCCCGCTGTCCAAAAGTTCTTTGACATTCTACGCGAAGTTCTGGAAAAATACAAATTTAGTCCCGACAGAATCTACAACGCCGACGAAAGTGGCCTGTCGTCTGTTCCGTGCAAACTACCAAAAGTTTTAAGTCCAGTCGGGACTAGAAGAGTAGCTAAAGCTGTTTCGGCCGAACGAGGCAAAAATACTACTGTTGTGTGCGCAGTTAATGCAGTTGGCAACTATGTCCCTCCTTATTTTATATTTGGTCGCATTCGTATGAAGGAAGAATTACTCTATGGTGCTCCAATAGGTTCGGATGGCACTGCACAAAAAAATGGATGGATGTGCACTGAAATTTTTGTTAAATACTTACACCATTTTTCCAAATATGCTCATTCATCGCCGGAAACCCCTGTTCTTCTTATGGTAGACAATCACTCTTCTCACATATCTTTACCTGCAATCAACTATTGTAGGCAAAAGGGGATAATCATGATTGGATTCCCACCACATACAACACACAGGTTACAACCGCTTGATGTATCATTTTTTGGCCCGCTGAAGTCGTTTTTTAGCCGAGAATGCGACAATCATCTCGTAAATCACCCTGGGCAGCTAATTGGGGACAAACATATTTGTCAGCTATTTGGAAAAGCATATAATAGGGCCGCAACGGTATCAAATGCTGTGAACGGCTTTAAAAAATGCGGTCTTCAACCTTTTGACCCTTTTGTATTTGGCGACGACGATTTTGTAATGGCTGAAACAACTGAAAGGGCACCGCATCAACCACCCGTTTATCAAAATTCCGATAATGAATCTGATGATGATATTCCTCTAATAAATTTTGTGAAACCCCAAAAGGATATTGAGAAAAAATCAACAATAAATATGACTTCAAATTCCCCAACAAGTGAAATAGTTTCAAGCACACCTCGTCATTTCGAAAAAGTAACGCAAGTAAAAAGAAATCTGTTTAGGGCGGAAAATAAAGAAAATGAGCCAATTCCTGGAACGAGTCAAACCGATAATAAACTGAATGAAGTGACACTTCAAAAAATTCGACCTTTTCCAAAAGCCGAAAGGGGGGGAAATTGTAAAAGGAAGAAGTTGACAGCTAGTGTAATAACCAGTACACCCATTAAAGAACAGTTGGAGGATAAGGAATATCAGATAAGACAAAGAGAAGAAAAGAAACGAAAAATTATAGAAAAAAAAAGTCAAAAAATCCCTAAGAAGCTAAAAGAATCAACAATTGCTTCCAAAAAAGAGAAAGTAATGCCACTGACCCCTCCCAAGAAAACTAAAGAATCTATTTTCTGCCCTGGTTGTGATGAATTATACCAGGATCCCCCAGTGGAGGACTGGATTAGTTGCAGCAATTGCCAGTATTGGTGGCACGAAGCTTGCAGCAACTACAATGGTGTAAGTGAGTTCGTTTGTGATTACTGCTAAATCCATTATGTTAGTCAACTTACCCCATTATGTTAGTCATCTTACCCTTTAGTGGGGGTAAGATGACAGATTTGCAGTATATTAAAAAACATGTTTTGTTCAGTTTAAAATAATTTGTTTATTTTTAAATATATGTGTTTTTTATAGTAAAATGTGTGTGTTAATCAAAATAGAATACAACACTCTCGTAACTTGAAAATTTAAATAAAAAAATCTATATTTTGCTTAACATCGCCAACTTACCCCACTTTCCCCTATTATATTTTGTTCTGTGTTAAAGGTTGAGAAGAGATCACAATGCTAAAAGCATTCGCCGTAACCGAGACCGAGTTTTGATTTTGATTGCTTTGGTTTCGACATTTTTTGGGGGGTTTCGTTTTTGGTGTTATTTATGGACGATCCGCACTTTTTTCGTTAGAGAATGTCATAAGTGTTCCTCTTTTTCTGTATAGAAAATTTTAAAATTTTGATGTACCTACCAAATAACAAATCAAATAATATTGTAGTTTGTAATATTCGGCATTTAGAGATTACGTGTTTTATGCTTACTATTGCTTACGTCCAGCCAGAGATATAGAAGGGATAAGCACCTGCATATCTCTGGTCCAGGCTAGATAAATGAAAATTATTACACTTGAGGTTACAGGGTAACTCTCCTCATAAATTATTACTCAATTAAAAATGTCTTTTGAAGATTGTTTTTTAATGGTCGATATAGATACAAAAATTGGCAATCACATCACAACCATAATCATTGTTTTCATCTTAAAATAAAAAATAACACTGTATAAGGTCAGTCTAGTTAGTGGTGACGTGAGACGTGAGCCGGGGGATTCACATGCGAATCTTGATGAGTTTCGTTTTTCATTTTTGATAAAACTTATAAATTAAACATTGAAATAAAAAAACTTATAATATAAAAACTTATATATTTAAACATTGAAATAAAATATAATATATTTAAACATTAAAAAAAACTTACATACAGTATCAGATAAAAACAATTGACAATCATAAATATATATTCTTGAGTATTATTGTACATATATTCTTGAGTATTAATGATTATATTAAAACTTTATATCGAAATTATGAAGCGTGGACCAAAAACGTCGTCTACAGTGTGGGAGCATTTTAAAAAGACTGAAGAAAAGAAAGTAACTTGCAATATTTGCAAAAATGAATTTAAATATTCCGGCAATACTTCAAATTTAAGGGAACATTTAAAAAGAAAACACCCGGCGTCCCTATTTCCGCAACGTGAACCCAAAGAAGATGCCGATGAAAATGTGGTAACATCAGTTGCACGTTCTAGTCAAGAAATTGAGTCTTCGTCCCATAATTCATGTATTCTTCCCACTAACATTACAGCGAATAACCAAGAAAAGCCTCTATCGAAATCGAAAGGTTCTCGCCAACTCAAGTTATTTGGTTCTACTAGAGGCGATGGACTAACACCGGAAATGAAAGATAAACTTGACAAAGCTCTTTTGCAAATGATTGTAATAGATTATCAACCATTGTCCATTGTAGAAAATAAGGGTTTCATTAATTATTCAAACAACCTGAATCCACATTATCAACTGCCAAGTAGAAAACTTTTAACATCAGTATGGCTTGAAAACTTCTACCAAGAGGAAAGCCGCAAAGTTAAGACCATGCTGACAGATGTGGCAAATGTTGCAGCAACAACAGATATCTGGACGTCAGATAGTAATAAAGCTTACATTTCTGTGACAATTCATTTTATTTATAATGACCAGATGTTTTCGCGAAACATAGCCACCAAAGAACTGGAAGACGTTCATCACACAGGAGAAAACATTGCGAGAGCCCTTAATTCTATTTTTCAAGAATGGAATATCAACAATAAAATCGTCACAGTCGTATCTGATAATGGGGCAAATATCAAAAATGCTATACGACAGATGAACGTACACCATCACCCGTGTATCGCCCATACTTTAAATCTAACTGTAAATGAAAGTTTAGACAATATTCCCTTGTTAAATACAGTTATTAAAAAATGCCGGTCTCTAGTTGGACACTTCAAACATAGTGTTGCTGCATCTCAAATTCTCAAGGAAATGCAAATTCAAATGAATCTTCCCATTCTTAAGGTCAAACAGGATGTAAGAACACGATGGAACTCATGTCTGATAATGATGGAGAGACTTTTAAAAATATAAGCGCCGCTCTCAGCTGCCATAACATCTATACCTCAAGCACCTGAATTTTTGGACACTGCAGAGTGGCAAATAATATCTGAATGTATATTGTTGTTAAAACCTATTGAAGATATAACTACGGTTTTATCGGGCTAGAAATATCGTACCTTCTCCATGGTACCTCCTTTAATTAGGGGCCTACAAGTTTCTTTAAAAAATAAAGTAGTGACCGTAGATGTGGCAATTCAGTTAAAAACGCATTTACTCGATTCTATATCTAGGAGACTCGGAAATCTTGAATGTAACAAAATTGTGGCCAAAGCTACCCTATTAGATCCCCGCTTTAAAAAATTAGCATTTGGTGTCTCGGGAAATGCCAATAATGCACAAACATTGGTTCATGAAGAGTTAGTTTCTATTGTATCGGTGCAAAGTGAAGAAGAACCAAGCGCTTCCGCCGATACGTCTACTTCTTCTGTGGAAGCCGAAACCTCAGATTCAATTTGGACATTTCTAGACAATCAAGTGAAACACTCGAAGTCACATATTACACCAAATGTCACGGGGACAATGATGTTGCGTCAATATTTTTAGAGCTGCCATATTTATCGAGATCAAGTAACCCGCTGGAATTTTGGAAATCTCATTCCGGGATTTTTCCTGACCTTTACCGCCTACAGGCCAAATATTTGTGCATTCCTGCCACTTCAGTGCCATCAGAACGAGTTTTCTCAAAGGCAGGACAATTAACGAATGATCGCCGTAATCGTCTTAACCCAAAAAATTTGGACTATATAATTTTCTTAAATAGTGTATTTAACAATTAGTTTAAAATTCATCTCTTAAGTTGATCTCATCTGAAAAGGATATATTTATATTATTTATGTTTGACTTTTATATGCATTTACTTATTAATTCCGGTGAGTTTCTTCGAGTCAATTCAATACCTTTCCTGGTCCGACAACTACGTACAGCACACGAATACGATACCGTGCTTTTTAATGTTTTTGTATTAAAAAAGACTCAAATTATTATCGATGAAAAACATTAAATTTTGGGAAAAATATACAAATGACAATGACAAAAACGGACCACAATCCACAATCAAATATGGCTGCGGCTGGCTGGTGCTGATACTCTGATACCGTTTTCCGTTTTCGTTTTCGCTTTCGCAACAGCTGTAGCGCCTCCTCCCTTCCTGTTTTCTGTTTTCTATGGTCATTTATTACTCCGTGAACAGAATACTACCACAGATTAGGTATACTATAAATATTAAATATTACTAACCTCCATAAATACTACTAATTTTTATCCGATATATCCTTTGAATAAGAAGACTAAGGAAGGAGCATAATGCTATCCATGTATTCATGCATGGTGGGCGGAAAAGCCACCATAAAAGCTCTCTAGGGTGGGGATCCTTGACAGTTCTGTTTGACGATTCATTTGACACATTTGAATTTGATTTGAAATTTTGTGGATTTGTCAGTCTTTACCTTCGTTCGCGTGCCCACTGCGATTGCAAATCGCAACTGGTGTAATACTGGTTGCCTAAAAATCCAAAATCGGCAGATATATGTTTCAATCGCAAGTCGCAGTTTGTTATGGAAATGAATCACAGGTTGCGATTGCGAATTTACAATCGCTGCGATTAAATCGCAGTTTGCGATTTTCTGCTCATCTCTAGTTACTATACACATACGCATGGAGGCTTACGCTTCCAATAAATTTAATGTTGCGATTTTTTGCGATTTTTTTGACTTAACTTTTCTAAGATAGAATATATGCCACTAACAAAAAAACCTTAAATGATTATGTTCTACTTTGACCTTTACCTAGTTTTTATCCAAAAAATCAAAATAAAAGATACTTTTTTACTTACCTTTACATTAAATTTACCGCAACCGGGAATCTACGTAAAACACGTTATGACAATTTTACAATAATTATTGACAGTAAGCTAAGGTCGTCCGATTCAATTGTTATAATACTGTATCACTTGAATGCAACGCCTACTATTTAAAAAATTTTAGAAACAAGGCAGTTATTGGACACAAATTAACTGAAAATGTAGGTTTTGTTTTTTGTCAGAAAAAATCCAGTGGTACCTACTCAAAATTTCGGCAAAAAATTATTTTTTTGGGCATTTTCAAAGTAAAATAACTCGGATATTTTAGACTGATAAACTGGTTCTGAAAAACGGTAAAGAGAAAATATGTTTCTTTTATCGAGATCTACCAGCCCTGAAAATATTTGCACTTATTTAAGACTCACCCTGTATATTACAATATTATCTTCAAATCCAATAACGTTTGGTGCACGCCACTGTGTAAATTAAAATATAGAGTTTCATACATCCATTTGTAGATAATTTTATTGGCTTTAATTTTAATGTCTAGTCTTTTTTTGAAAAAATCAACCATATTCGAGATAATGGGCGAAAACTAAAAAAATGTACTTTTGGGGTGGTTTATACCCTCGGAGGGATGGGGACTTTTTGTATGTTAATCCGGGCGACCAAAGCTAGATAGGTATTAACGCAAAAATCAGCTTCATGTGATTTTGTTCCACGAGCACCATAGGATCGAAAATAGCGGCCCTGGAGTAAAATAGGCTACTGGTTAAAAACCAGAAAAATATACGTTTTAAAACTAAATCTTAAATATCTTAAAAACGATTTATTTTAGGTATAGGAACATGATAATCAAAAAGTAACGAATTAAAAAACCTTTTCACTAGTGAATTAGAAAAGTGGGTATCCATTTGAAAAAAAATATTTATGATAATTTTTAATCTCTCGATTCCATGACAGCTACGGCGAATATTATATAACACTCAAACAATTTAATTTTAGAAATAGATAGCCACATGTCTTCTCTTTATGTGTCAGTGGCTGTGGTAATCGCTAAATTTGACGTTTAGGCTATACAATTTTTTTTGACAGTGGACTGGACACCCCAGGCTGAGCGTGCATTAGAAGTTTCTAGAGAACCACAATATCTAGATTGCAGATTTCTTGCACATCATTGTTTTACAACGAATCTATTGATTAAAAATATTTTCAATATGGCGGCACTTGACAGCAAAGGAAGTTGACAGCATTTTTCTTATTTTAAATACTAAAATTCTTGACAATCTTCTCTTTATGGCACAGTGGCTGTGGCAATCACTAAATTTGACGTTTAAACTATACGCATATCTTAGACAGGCAGTTTTTTTCGCCCAAATGTTTTAAATATTTGTTTTCTCAAAAACGGTTAATGTTGGGTATTGAATGTTTAATATCAAAATTCATAAAATTTTACAGAAAATTTAAGTATGTAATAAAAAATGGGGGTACCCATTTAAAATAAGAAAGTTACTGTCAACTTCCGGTATATCCAGAAGTGCCGCCATATTGAAAATATTTTTAATCGATAGATCTCGTCGTGAAACAATGATGTGCAAAAAATCTCCCGTCTAGATATTGTAGTTCTCTAGAAACTTCTAATGCACGCTCAGTCTGGGACATCCTGTATGACATAAATTGAGGATTAATTGACGTATTCAATTGTTTTCGGTCACTTCCTGTTTCACCCTCGGTATTTTGTTACTTTATGCGATAGAAAATGACACTGTGAGAAGAATGACATATCTTATGTCAACTTTTGACATTTTCGAATAAACCATTATTTGAAATTGCAACATGCGATTCATAACGAAAATTTGATAAGTCATTCTATACAGAGTGTCATTTTCTATCGAATAATGCAAAAAAATACCGAGGGTGCCATTTAAAAATCAAAAGTTGTAGTCATTTCCGGTGAAACAGGAAGTGGCCGAAAAGAATTGAATACGTCAATCAATCCTAATTTTATGTCATATACTAACATAACAAATCTCTTTTTTTATATGCACTACACTTTTGAGATGCACCCGGTATTCAATGCAAAAATATTCATCTACTGAACCGATTTAAAATTATTGACGCCATATCTTTCACTGACGATTTTGCTCATTGTTACCAAATTTGGACGCTATTCGGCCAACCGGCCTTGTACTGACACGGAACGTGGGTTTCCTCGTACTTACGCGCAGCATTCCAATTCCTCCTATCATTCGAATCAAACGACTTTGCCGCATAATTACCAGCAAAACGAATCAATACCTATTCCGCTTATTTCAGGTAACGATTTCCTTGGAAGTGAATAAAAATAGCGTGGAATGAAACAGACTTGTAGGAGGGGGACGAGTCGACGCCTTGACGTCACGACGCCGAAAATAGACAGACGCAAAGACCCATTCATACAACATTCCAAATAGTGTGGCGCATGGCTTGGCGAAAATATTACTGTAAAAGAACAACAGATATACAGCATTCTGGAATAGGGTTTAGATAAAAAATACTAACTGGAAGATCTCAAATTTATACAGGGTGGCCCATTAGTGCGAAGAACTCGCATATCGTCGCTGTTAAAAAAAATTGTGCGTGCACTATGTGCGCATATTTGAAAGTGAAACTTCTTACTAACACAGCTAGTAAATTGAAGGATTTAAAGGACATGTTTGAAAAAGGCTAGTTTAAATTGTTGAGAAAGTAATAAATAAAAAAAATATATTTTTTCGCGTAAAAAATAGTTTTTTACGTGTAATAAAAAGTTCTAACACGTAAAAAATAGCTTTTTGCGTGTAACAAATAGTTTTTTACGTGTAATAAATAGTTTTTTACACGTAAAAAATAGCTTTTTGCGTGTAACAAATAGTTCTTTACGTGTAACAAATAGTTTTTACGTGTAACAAATATTTTTTACGTGTAATAAATAGTTTTTTTACACGAAAAAATATATTTTTTTGCGTGTAACAAATAGCTCTTTACGTGTAGCGAATAATTTTTTACGTTTAAGAAATAATTTTTTACACTTAAAAAATAGTTTTTTTGCGTTTAACAAATAGTTCTTTACGTGTAACAAATAGTTTTTCTACGTGTAACAAATAGTTCTTTACGTGTAGTAAATAGTTTCCTGTACGTAAAAAATAGTTTT